CTGGCCAGAGAAGATCAGGAGGAGGAGAACTGTCCGGCAGGAAGCAGGGGTGGCCGGGAGGTGGTTGGGGGCAATGGAGCAGATCGGGGGAAAATAGAGAGGCGGGACTGACCCGGGCATCCTCATGGTCTGGAGAAGCGCGAGTGAGTCTGGCTGTGGCTCCACCACGTGCTCAGGAGCATGGACCAGGCTTCTCCTCCTCCCCAAGGCGTCAGACTCAGCCAGGGCTCCCAGCGCTGATCGCGCCCCACCTCCCAGCCACTCCTCCCGCCCCTGCCAGGCTTCCGTCCAGCGCCCAGCCAGAAATCCAGGAAATACTGGACATTGCACATGTCTGGTATTTTCTGGATGTTTTTTTACCGGACATAGGGCTCAAAAACCAGACTGCCTGGTAGAATACCGGACACCTGGCAACCCTACCTCCCGCCCCCTGCATGTAAATGCTAAAAAAAATTCAGCAGTTACACATTTACACAAACAAATGATTTTTAACATCCCTACTACTTATTGGTGTGCTGACAGGCAAGATGGCGGAGCCCGAGCCCTGCTAGCTACTCTGATGGTGATGCAGCTGTCCCCAGTGGAAACTCTGCATTTAACCGTTGTCTTAGGACTCATTCCCTTTGCATTTTATGGAATACGGTCTTTTCTGGGGCTTCATGTTGTCTTGGCACAACCAAACCTTGATCTTGCTTTTATGTTAGGAGAAGAGGAAGCTACATACCAAATGTAGTGGCCCTTGGTCGTATAATTTAGGAGGAGTTCTTGAACAAACAGACTCACAGAAAGACAGACAGACGCACTCTAAAATTATATTGAGAGAGATTTTATTGCTCACTGCTGCTATATTACCTAGAGCTCTGTTATCCATATAGCAAGCTTCTATGGAATATTTTCTGTGTGTTGCTTCAGAACACTGATCATTTGTAAACTCTGAGCTGTTTGTCTTTACAGCCTGTTCATATCACCTGAGCTAATTTTGCATGGTCTTGGCTTTTTTCTATTAGCGGTGGTTCTGTTGATGTACAACCAAGTCATCAATTTCATGTAAATATCTGTGACGTTACTTAGCTGGCAGTTTCTCATAGTTTGTTGTCCTTCAGTATTGTTTCTTCCTACAAGAGCTGCCCTGATTTTAATGGATGGCCCAGTGGGGTTCATTTACTGTAAATAAATCTTGACCTCCAAAGAAAATGAGAGGTTCTAAAAGGGAAGAAAAAATCTGCATCTATCAGCTGTAATTTTTTTCATTTGGCAAGAAGTAACTGTAACTCATAGACTAATTAAATTCAAGCAGCTGTTCTAAATTTCAGTTCTAAAATGATTATACCTTGACTTTCTGAAATTCCCTTTCAAGCATTTACCTAAGGGATGCAATTTGTGAGAGAGACTGCAGCTCCGAGTAATTGGAAACATACAGACTACAAAGATCAATTAGAAAATTAGGGTTATTGGCATAATGCCTAAAGGTTAAATGTAGTTACTTTTTACAATTAACTTTTGCATTGAGGTTAAACAAGATATTCGACTGATTTTGTTGCAAACATGTCCAGATCTCTGACAAGGGATCTGGGAAACATGCAAATCTTAGAAGAGATAACTAAAGGTTACTAAAAATATTACAATTAAAGTTTGATCTCTGTATATAAATTTGAATTGTGTCCTTGTCTCTCTAAATTGCAAGCCACATAAAGCTGCTTGTGGAACTTTGAATAAGTTAAATTATTTTTAAATTGTCTTTTTCCTAAGAAAAGTTTCAGTACTGCTGGACTCTACGTAGAGGATAGAATCCAATTCAGAAAACTAATTGTATTTTATTCTTCGGTAACTCTAATTCTGCAGTCCTTATATTAGGCAAGGATACCTGTGGTTTAGGAAGGCATTAAAGACTTTGGATACTTATTGACCCAAATTATGATTACTGCTATTTTCTGTAATCTTGTGGAGGATTTTATTTCATAAAACAGGTTACACATAGAGCCCTGTGTCTGCATTTGCAAAAATGATCCGTGGATATAATGCAGGTCTTCAGACACAAATTTGTATCTGCATCTGCAAAAAATGAGCCGCAGATATCTGCATCCCACAGATGTGGATCCCTGCAGATATAAAGCAGGTATCTGTGGATTTTCAGGGCTCTAGTTACCCGACATTATTTTCACAGCTCACCTGAGAAAAGCAATGACAGGTACCCTCTTGTGGGGGTATTCATTTATTTGTGCACATATTCTTTGGGGCACAGATATAAAAATCAGTAGAGCACTCCAAATCCGTAGATACCCACTTTATATCTGTGGATATAGATGCAGATCCGTGGCTCATTTTTGCAGATGCAGATAGAAACTTTTTATCTAGAACTCTGCATGTTTCCAGATATCCGCTTTATGTCCATGGGTGTGCGCATTCATGGTTGTGGTTGTGGATATCTTCAGCTCATTTTTTGGACATGTAGATACAAATACAAATTCTGTATGTGTGCAGGGCTCTGGAAATCCTTGGGACTAAGATTTGATTGTTACAGAGTAGCTTGGTCATGTCAGGTTACACGATTGCACCCATAACTTTTAATCTCAATTTGCCTGTGAATGATCAGTATTTAAATTATTGTACTGGTAGTATTTTTGTTTTAGGCTGGTGTCATTTAATCACCTGCCCTTCAAATTTCTAGGTGAAGGAAAATGGTTCAGAAATATTGATTACTACCGTTTAGACGGTTCAACCACAGCTCAATCAAGGAAGAAATGGGCTGAAGAATTTAATGATGAAACTAATGTGAGGTAAGGTCATTGTATGTAGCTTTTAATTTCCTATCTCTTTTCTTCCTGTATCTATTTTGTAGTTGTGCTAGCTTATCAACTTTTTTAAAGATATCCTCTGGTGATATAACTTTGTTTTAAATATTTTTGTACCTGTACTGTTGCACCTTCTTCATCTGCATTGCATATGTGTGTATGTTTGTCTAATATTTTAGAGATACGTTGCCCAGCACCTTCTGTTATGAGATTGTTTTCAGTGCTTATAACTTTGCTGAACTTCAGGAGTTTAAATTGAAGTTTTCTCTGCTGCGTTTTGGCCTCTGATAAGGGGCAAGTCATGTAAATTAAAACTTTCACAAGTTGCCAGTGCGTTCTTCCATTTTCTTGGCATCCATATTGGGTTTGATTTGCAGAAGTACAAAGCACTCAGAATTGCAACTGGGGTGAATGGGAATTATGTTCTGAACATATAAAGTGCTATAAAATACTAATTATGGGCTGAAATAGTAGGCTTCAGGTTTCTCAAATTAGGCACCCAGAATTAGTTGACAATTTTGCTTTGTCTGCGTGCTTCAGCTTCCCCTTTGTAAAAATATTAATAACACACCTCGTAAGGGTGTTAAAGCTTACGTTGGAAATTATTACATGCCACGACATGCCAACAATAAGGCCTTTTGATACTCTATGTATTTTTGTATTTTAATTTTTTTGTTTTAATTTTAACGTACTCTGAATTTTCTGGGTATATTCTCTTGGCTTTGGTGCAATTGCAAGTTCCATATCAGATAAATTGCACTACATTATTAATATGTACTCTATCTTAATGTAATTTTTCTGTGGGAATTTTAGTCTTAACCTAGGACAGAACTTTCTCTGCCTATGTATATGTGTGTAATGTGAACTATGGACATGCCAGGCCACTGCATCAACTGATTAACATTTCAATTAGTAATGCAGTTTGTCTTTGGACACTTTCTCTGTCAATATTGGCCCATGTGAATGAATTTTAAAGATAAATATTCACATTAAACATGGAAATGACCAGTCTGCAAATATTAGTGAATTAAATAAGGGGTAGCAAAATACGCTTTCATATTGATTTTTCTTAACTTTGAGTTAAGTCAGTGAAATAATTAAAAACAACTTTTAGTTTTGACTTGTGAGTTTGATAGTGTCTGGTTCCGCCCTTAATGAGGAGAAATGCATTTGATGTTGGGGTTTTATTTGAGAAGAAAGGACTTCTGTCATTTTGTTAAAGGTTTCCTATTAAGTTGGTTGATTATAGGTTTTACTCTATGCCACATGCCTTGTTCTTTGATGTGGCATGCTTACTATCACTTGCACATGTTGAATATATACAGCCAACTTCTGAATGGAGCAAATTGGAATCACTCTGTTGGAGCATTGGCCCGTTAACCTGACAATAAGTGCATCTTGCTAATATTTATTTGTTAAATTAGCGCTCTAAAATGAATGAAAGGGTTATTACTTATGTCTTCTCAACAAGTTTAGGTTTTCTCCTATAAACTGTTCTCGGTGTAATAGATATGCTTTGTATTGCATTTTCACAGCTATTTGTGTACAATTTTGAATATTTATAAATATACATCTTCTCTTTGTGTAAGCACTGTTTGATGGATAATTTAGTTATAGGTGGAAAAGACACTATTTTCAGATCCATATAACAGTTTGATATTTTTCATGGTTGTTGACATTGTTTTTTGTGAGGAAATTCTAGTAAATTCCAGCTGGCTGCTGATTTTCCCATTACTCCTCCAGTTCCTTCTTTGTTTTATGTTGATAAGTTTGAAATATAAACTTTAAACCATACTGATTAAACTTGTCCCTTAATTTCTCTGTGAATTTTGTTTTGGTTTTATATTTGCATTTCCCTCTTTCTTAACATTTCTCTACTTCTGTTGCAATTGGAGAGGCCTACATAAACTGGGAAGAAGACTGGCTATACAGTGAAATGAGCTGTAAGCTAAGACTTTTGTCTGCACTGCCAGTTGAATAGCAAAACTTTTGTTAAAACTACAAGGAATCCCGTAGAGACTTAAAAAATTTATCTGGGCATAAGATTTTGTGGCCTGGAGCCCACTTCATCAAATGGATCCTTTCACTATCCCAATCTGAGGCATGACATGCTTCCTGCAAATATGGGAAGCTATTTAGATTGGTCAATGAGTCTGTTGGGTTTGACCAGATGCCTGCTTTCATTCCAAAGTCTCTACCGCCAGTTTTTGAAAATCTACAGTGTCTAGTACGCAGGGATGATCTTTTATTCTTCCTAAGAGACATGCACCCGTGGCATCAAAGTTAAAGTATATTTCAATACCTTTTGTGAGTGGGGTTTTCTTTCTTAGACAGAAAAAGAGAAGCCATTTCTAGAGGGAACCTTGAAGCTCTTAGGGGCTTATAAGGCAACCGCCCTTCTGCTGCAGATGACCTAAAAATCCTTAGCTCCAGAACCATGGTTGATTCAAGTAATGTGCTGAGTAGAGTGCATTTGATGAAATCTTATGTCCAAATAAATTAGTTAATCTCTAAGGGGGCACAGGATTCTTCATTGCTTTTGCTGTAACAGAATAACATGGCTACTCTTCTATAACTTTTGCTGTTTACAGGTGCTTAAATTCACTCTACCCTCCAGACAAAAGTTTTGCTGTGGGCAAGTGGCAGTGTAAACAGCTCCATGTCAACAGGAGAGCACTTCTGCCAACAATATGAACTCCACTCAGCAGGGATTGAAGTATTTTGTCAGCAAATGTGCCAACAAACAGCGCTTACACTGCCCACCATACAGAAACACCATTGTGTTGCTAAAAGCTGTGTAGCATAGAGAAAACTTAAGTTTATCAGATGAATAAAACAAATTGGAAAATTGATTTATTTATTTTTTTGGTCCAGTCTTATTTAGAGTCAACTTAAGTTTTATCTGTAACAATAGCAATTATGGAATTTCTGTCTGAAACTTTTATTAAATGTTTGAAAATTGCATATTGAAAAAAATGCAGGAAACGAACGTTTCTGGATCTTGACACTACCCCAGTCTGAGACATTTGAGGCATGACATGCTTCTTGCAAATACTGGAGGCTGTTCAGATTGGTCAGTGAAGCTGTTGGGCTCTTGACCAGACTCCTTCTGCTTTCATTCCAATGTCTCTGCCTCCAATTTTGAAAATCCACAGGGTCTATCTAGCACACAAAGATTCTTTCTTTATCTTCCCTAAGATACATGCACCAGTGGCATCAAAGTTAAAGTATATTTCAATACATTTTGTAAAGGTATTTTCTTCTTCTGGCATTCAATTTAGCGGGAGTAGTAAGGACCCTGTAAATCAAACACTGTGGGCACCCCTGGTTGGCGCCAGTACTCCTACTCCTCACAAGGAGCTAGGGAAGCTGATGGGAGCTTTTGCTTCCGTCGACCTCCAGCTGTGCAGACAGTGCCAAGCTCTGCGTAAAATATGTCTACTTCAGCTATATTATTTACATAGCTGGAGTTGCGTATCTTAAGCTGACCTTCCAGATCTAGAATCAACCTGGCTTTAGACAGAAAAATAGAAGCCATTCCTAGAGGGAACTTTGAAGCTCATTCGGCCTTACAGGGTAACCACGTGCTGCAGATTCATGGAAGAAAAAGCAGTGATCAGCATGCTAAAGCTGTATACCTAGAGAAAGCCTAAGTTTATCAGATAAATAAGGCAAAAAAACTGGAAAACAGATTTTTTTTCTCCAGTTTGATTTAGAGTCATCTTAAGTTTAATCTGTAGCAATAGCAATTATGGAATTTCTGCCTGAAGCTTCAATTAAATGTTTCAAAATTGCATATTAAAAAATGCAGGAACCTAACGGTTCTGTTTAATGTCTTCATCAATGATTTAGATGGCATGGAGAGTATGATTATTAAGTTTGCAAATGATATCAAGTTGGGAGTGATTGCAAGTGCTTTGGAGGATAAGGTCAAAATTCAAAATGATCTGGACAAACTAGAGAAATAGTCTGAGGTAAACAGGATGAAGTTTAATAAGGACAAATACAAAAGACTCCACTTAGGAAAGAACAATCCCTTTCACACATACAGAATGGGAAGTGATTGTCTAGGAAGGGATTTAGGGGTCATAGAATACCACAAGTTAAACATGAGTCAACAGTGTGACACTGTTGCAAAAAAACAAAAACAAAAAACACCCATGATTCTGGGATGCATTAACAGGAGAGTTGTGAGGAAGACAGAAGAGGTCATTCTTCCGCTCTACTCTGCACTGACTAGGCTCCAGTTGGAGTACTGTCTTGTTCTGAGCACCGCATTTCAAGAAAGATGTGGAGACATTGGAGAAGGTCCAGAGAAGAGCAACAAAAATGATAAAATGTCTAGAAAACATGACTTACGCGGGAAAGCTGAAAGAATTGGTCTTGTTTAGTTTAGAAAAGAGTAGACAGAGGAGGGACATGATAGCAGTTTTCATGTATCTAAAGGGTGTTACAAGTAGAAGGGAGAAAAATTGCCTTGGCCTCTGATGATAGGACAAGAAGCAATGGGGCTTCAACTGCTGCAAAGGAGGTTTAGGTTGAACTGTCATGGTGGTTAAACAGAGGATAGACATCTGTCAGGTATCATCTAGACACTGCTGGGTCCTGCTGTGATGGCATGGGAGAAAAACCGGCAGCGCGTCTGTACCTCAAATGCATTTTTCTGCAAGCAAATTGGAAGAACGGAGGACTTTTGCTGGTAGAGTTGTTCCTTTCCCCACGAGGAATAAACTCCTTTTTGCGATACAGCTCTTGCACAGAAAGGCAGGTGTGGACGATCCAGAGGGGTTTTTGCGCAAGAAACCCCTATCTGCAAAAGCACAGGTGCTCTGATGGCCATTCTTGTGTAAGAGCGTCCATGCAGTGTGGATGTTCTCTTGCGCAAAAGCACACCACTTTTGCGATGCGCTTTGAGGTCTGGATGCGCTTTTTCACAAGAAGTTTTTGTGGATAATCTCTTCCACAAAAGGCTTCTTATGCAAAAA